GACAAACGCCGCAAACCTGTCGATGTATGCATGGCTGAGTATACTAGTCAAAAATGTTACTCTTAAGTCTTAACTAAGGCTTTGATGGCACTCATGGGAACCGTATGAATATGAGTCGAGTTTACTATGCGTGTGGAACGAGTTCAGGCGCCGTGGAGCGCATAGGGAGTAGGGACGCAGTGTATAGATTAGTCAGCCAATTAGTAGACAGTGGAGTGGAGTCCTGGTAAGATATTCCCAATAATATTAAAGCTAGTATTAGATTATCTCTTAAAAAAACATGTTTTTCCATTTTTATTTGCCTGTCAAGATTAAGTACCATATTAAACCACAACATGTATTCGTAGCAAAAATCATTTCAATTGCCGAGCTCCAATCAGAATAATTGAAGGCTACGTCTCAAGTTATTGTATAAATGCAGAGGTTGGCAGTAGCATGCTACATGTAGTGGCCTTTTAAGCAATTGTATTGGTAGCGCCCGCTACATATTCAAGTAGCAATACCAGGTTTTGCCGCTACAGCATTACCGCTACATTTATAGATAAAGCCTTTAGATTTTACCTGATAGTATTAAATATTATTTAATAACCAGCATGATACATACATAATATAAATTACAGAATAAAAATGTACGAAAGATTTTGGTGTAATGTTGTCAACACTCAGCCTGTTACTAGTGTCAACATGTTAGTTGTTACCAGAGGTGGGCAGTAGCGTGCTACATGTAGCGGCCACTACATTTTCGGTAGCAGTAGCGGCACTACATTTAAGCAATTGTAGCAGTAGCGGTAGCACCCGTTTATATTTATATTTTAGAGCATGTAGTGGTAGTGGCTGCTACATTTCAAAGTAGCACTGCCCAGCTCTGTATAAATGTATGATGGTAAGCCAAAGTTTACACCACATCAATAATTGATTCATCTCGTCATGTCTCAATATAACGGCTAGAAATTCTGGGAAATTTTAACGTACGTACTGTAGTGCAGAGCAATGGACTGCACTGCCTATATGTGTGCAGTCCATTCTAAACAAGACAAGTCATCAAAAAAGTTGTCAAGATCATAAGGATGGTAATAATATTCAAGACAAATTTGTGAGCGTTTGCAAGCCTTTTGTCAGTTGGTAATATAGGACCACTTCTAATTCACCTGTAATTGGGCCAAGCATTACACAAAAATATTCATCTGTAGCATAGTTTTGATTAATGATTTCAAAAAATCATAAATTATATAATGAATTTTGGTGGTAGAATTAGCTGTAATAATTTTTTTAATGTTTGTGGGAGTATCATTAATTATGTAGCTTTTAAATTCAAGCTAATTTTATAATCTTATTGATTTTGCAATTTGAAAGGTTATTACAGTTATTGACAGGAAAGGCGATATTAATCTAAATTCTTCTTGCAAGGAAGAAATAAAGAACATTGACTAATGAAGCAATGATTGATTTCATTATCACATATAATTTCTGTAATGGAAATGTTGACATTTTCTAAATCAATTTCACTAGGAAGCAGATGTATTGACCAATGTGTGATTGTTAATTAAAAATTTAAAAGCAAAGAATAGTCCACAAAAATTCATATCTTTAAAGAAAACGTTTTGGAGTCCAGCTCCATCGTCAGTTTGTAGAATCTAGAATATACATAGAAAGTCACAAGTTTATACAATTGAAAGCACAGAACACGATTAGAACCTAAATTTACAAGTAATAGGGCATAAAAACCTATCTATTCACAATTTCAAGGGGATAGGAGCTCAGAGCTGAATTTAAACTGGGCCTAAGCTTGAAAATGTACAATGATTCTAAGATACGCAAATCTGAAGTACCGGAGGTAGAAGCTAACATCCTAAAGTCAGTCAGAAACAGGCACATCACACTGCTTGGCATGAGTGCGCACAGCCTAATGAGGGGGGCGCGATAGCAACTGTCCGGTCCTACAACTCCTGCCCTTATGCTCTGCGATCCTGGAATAAAGATTGCGTGATGTCATACCAACGTACACAGATGCACATTGTGCACAACAAAATTGATAAACCAGGGACGATCGCATATGAACAGGGAGCATATCTTTATATCTAAAGAAAGAATTGATTTTGAAACTGTTTACCAGAACAATATGGAGTTTAACGTTTGGAAAGTATCTATTGAACAAGACTTTTAATTCTCTTGACATAGCTTCGGACGCCGGGCCAAAGTATGGAAAAGAACAATAAATAACGTTCCTACTATCGCGCTCAGGAGCAACCTCACTGAATTGCTTCAACATGAATTTCACGATTTAGGTATACACCAAACTTGCTGGAAATCCATTAAGCGATAAAATATTTCTTAAAAATTTAAATTCAGCATGCATAGCCTGGTATGGTGAGCAAATGCAAAAACCTCTGTATAATAATGTTTGAAGCCCATTTAATGTGAACCGGAATGAACAAAAATGAAAGAAACTGGTATTTAGGCCGGTGAATGTCGGCTTCCGGAACACAGAAGTTGAAAAACGGCCATTAGATTTAGTAATATTGCAATCAAGGAAGGACAAACTATTATTAGATTCGAGCTCCATGGTAAATGTGATAGAATTATGTTGCGAGTTTAGGTAATCAAAGAATGGTTTAAGATGGGAGGGATGTTTGAAAATTAAAAATGTGTCATTGACATATCTGTTATAGAATATTGGCTTAAAATCAAGAGGACAATTGGCCAGCCAAGAAACCTCGTGAAAACCCATAAAAATATTTGCAAAGGTCGGGCCAAGCGGTAGTCCCGTGCCTAAACCGTCAATCTGTCCATAAAACTTGCCAGCAAACATTAAAAAACAAGTTAAGAACTGATAATTCTAAGAGATTTGAAAAATTTACGGTTTAAACCAAACACAAGATCGTTAACATTTTTGAACAGGGAATTGAGACTAATTTCAATTGTTTTGTGAAGGATTTATTATTATTGGTGAACAAATTTTCTACGTCAAAGGAGGCCATAGTTAAATCCTGAACGTCAGTAAAATGTTTCAAGCAATTCACAAACATGTAAGAATTATCAACAGTATACTGATTAGTCGTAAGACGGTTTAGCCCATTAATGATGAGAATTATTTTCTGAATTTTTTTTTTTTTGTTCCTTGTGTGAATATTATCATTTGTGATGGTAATAAACAAAAAATATGTTCATATATTTACTTTTCGTTCTATGTGAAAAATTATAGCTTGGTTCCATATGGAACCGCTTGACCGGAATGCTTACACTACTGCCGAGCAGTTCCATTTGGAACCAGGCAAAATATTTCATGATCTAAATGACTTTAGAAACATTATATCACATAATGCCATGTACAGAATTAAAAGTACTCTCTTTATCAATAAAATTCCGCATCTAACTTATAAATGTTATATTTTTAGAACAAACTACTTATCTATCTTTCTCTGCAATGATGTCAAGCCCTCCTGACTGACACCCGGTACTTATAATCTTTTAATGTTAACTGAACAGGGAGTAGTTGGCGTAGCAGAACCAAACGTTGCCAGAACATGGACAAGATGTGTATCAAGCCTACGCATCCACTAGTATATTGATTTGACCAAACAATTTTATTATGGATCCATTTTTTTGCTGGTTCCAAATGGAACCGCTTGGCATTAATGGGTTAAAACCGGTACCAGAAATTTAGCAAGTTTAAAACTAGGAGTATTATATGCAGCAAAAATTGGTCAAAATTGAAACTTAGAAGCAAAATCAAACTTGTGAATTTTAGGTAAGCCATATAAAATACCAGGGTAAGAACCAGAGGCATAAAGTTTAGTATAAGTTTCAGGTGAAAGGGCAGGCGAATCTTTAAGTTTACGCAAAATATTATTGATTTGGACTTCAACTTTCAAAATTGTTTTGGAGATCTGATCTGTGATTTCAACAAATTTGGAAGGATCAATGAGGATTGCATTTAGGCTACTGTTGTAGCAACTATGATCCACAAGAACAACACCCTTGCCCTTATCAGGTTTACAAATGACTAGGTCTTTATTTTTTGCTAGGTCTTTCAATAAAATTGTGTCACAAGGTTGAATACAGAGGAGAAAGCTTTATAGGACTGAAGCCATAAAAATGCTGGTAGGTACACTAAACTTTGCAGGTTGCCTAAAAATTCAGGACAATTAGGAATAGGAACATTCTTAATGCTAAGAGCGAGTCTTTCAAAGGCTAAGAAAAATTTATAGAAGTCCAATTTAAAAACGGGCGTTTTTACTAACAATGTAGATTGTTAATATTATGCAATTTAGTACATTTTAGTAAATTTAGTACATGCTAACATTATCATCAAGTTATACTTCCATGTTGGCGCATAGTAATTCACTAAGCCAAATGAGACATTATAGCACCAATAATGATGTCAATAACCAGCATGAGGAGAACTGTTTAGGAGCAGAAAACTCTAACTATCATTTACGTTTCTTCAGAGTAAGGTAACCAAAATTTGAGATTTCACTGTGAGCAGAATACTCTAGTATTTACAAACAAAATTAAACCTTGATGAATCATTACTTATCTGTTGCTATTAAGAAATGATAAAAGGGGAGTTCCTCAGGCAGGAGACTAATGTTCCATCTATCAGTGCCACACCTATGACTACATATTAGATATTAGGAGATACAAGTTCAGCCAAACCTGGTCGCAACAGAAAACTGGGAAATATATTATTCAGCTCCAGGGTTTGTTAGAAATTTCCTTATTTCTTGGGTTGTAAAATATATTGGTTATATTTCTTTATGGCTATTGATAGACATGCTTATCATGGATGAAAGTTATTTAGCAAAAATCATATATATACCTATATATATATTCATGGAAGTTAGCATCTTCTGGTGGCCATTTGGTTTTCTTTAAAATGTTAACAAGAAATTATACTAGCTTTAGAATTTAGAGTCCAATTTGTACATGCATTGAAAAGATCTATTAAAGTTTTTCAGACATTTAACCATGAAAATATCTTGATGTTGCAGGGTTTGCATGTTCTATTTGAACATGCAGTGGGCTACTCCCTGTACCAAGTCACCGAGTTTGAGGATATTGGACAGATGATGCCTCAGGTGGAGGCGGCTGTTAAAGACTGTGGCAAGTTCCTGAAGGCAGTCAAACTTGTGGCATTCAGAGCCTTCGAAAGTGCAGCAGAATCACTTGAAAATGTGAACAAAATTTCTGAAGGTAAGTGTTTTGCGTTTTAAGGTCTAGATTATTTGTACACTCAATTTTCTTTTTTATACAAATCATGCTGGAAAATTTTATTTCTGAAGTTTAATGTTGCTTTTTCAGCTCTTAACTTTATGCTAATTAGCATTTGATGTCAGAATAATTCCCAGAAAAAGAAGACTCCACTTTTATTATTCATTTGTGCAGCATATAGGTAGTTTATTTTAATGCAGTACGGTATTGAACAATGTCACTTGTTGAGTGCATCCAGCAACTCAAAATAAGGTTCAAAGTAGTCAGTGAAAAGAAATTATTCAAGCATTGCTTGCAAGAATCTAATTACTCTCAAACCTACTTCTGGTTGTTATGAATTTGTCTGCTTGAAAGAAAAGTTGAATTGTCATGTGATAATAACATTTTATTCATCAATCAGCCCTGGATGAAAGTAAGGATTACCTTGGGATTCACAAATGGCATTCACGCATAACTAACCCAATATTAAACTTATTACTGATATTTCAGGTAAAATGTCAGACGTGTTGGAAGCATTCCTGGCTAGTAACAAATTTGACACACTTGGTGTGGCAGACCCAACCCTCGGTCAAAACATCAAAGATGTCTTCAGCTGTAATGTGCTACACACCGGCATAGTGCCCGAGGTGAGAATCTGGCATCTTTTTTACAACACTTCTCTTTAACTTCACTTCTTGTTGTTTGTTTGTTTGTCTGTTGCAAATCTTGTAATCAATATTTAACACACTTCTACCTGTCCAATCGATCTGAAATTTTGCACACTTGCATAAAGTTGGAGACAATGCATGAATCAATTGACAGAATAAATAATTTTGCAAATTAAAAAAAATGTTTTTCAATATTAAAAAAAATTGACAAAATAATTTTGTCAGCTACAAATCTTTTAAATGATATTTGACACACTTCCACCCCAGGTTTGAAATTTTGATTAAACATGCATTATGCTCATTTTTGTTTACTCTTGTTCTCTTGTTGTCAACACTTGCTCTTGGTAGCATTTAATCTTATATTTGTTTGAGTATGTGTGTGTTGTGTGCTTGAAGCATAGCGCCTGAAATAAATAAGGACTGTTTGATCGCAACTCCTCAATAATTATTTATACGGCAGTGAGCCAGTGACACGAAATTTCTAGGAGCTGGAAATTTATTCTCAATGAAAGAATAGTTCTGGCATTGCAAAACGGGGAGGAATGGTTTGGACCTATAGTTGAAATTTGATTTTCAAATTTTTATATATAAGGAATTTTAAAAAGGCATGTATAAATATAATTTTAAAACACATAATGGTTTCTTTGATTTTTTAATTGAGAATGAAAAGGTTCCTTGTTCTATGTAGAGTATAGTTTGAACAGGTCTTTCTTTAACTAGCATACATCAGTTTTTTACAATAATGTGATTTTTTGGATAACAAAATTTTGAAATTACACTAATAATAAATTCTGGGTATTATTGCTACTACTATGGTACTATTATAGTGATAGTGACTTGCTATAGTATTACCTATTTGCTAACGTTTATTCATTTTTTCCATTTTGTTTGCATTGTTCCATGTTTGTAATTTTTAAACATATATTATTTCATTTTGATCTAAATTTTTCATATTTTGCAAGGTTATTTCCAGGTTTGAAATTTTGATTAAACATGCATTATGCTCATTTTTGTTTACTCTTGTTCTCTTCTTGTCAACACTTGCTCTTGGTAGCATTTAATCTTATATTTGTCTGAGTATGTGTGTGGTGTGTGCTTGAAGCATAGCGCCGGAAATACGTAAGGACTGTTTGATCGCAACTCCTCAATAATTATTTATACGGCAGTGACATGAAATTTCTAGGAGCTGGAAATTTATTCTCAGTGAAAGAATTGTTCTGGCATTGCAAAACGGGGAGGAATGGTTTGGACCTATAGTTGAAATTTGATTTTCGAATTTTTATATATAATGAATTTTAAAAAGGCATTTATAAATATAATTTTAAACACATAATGGTTTCTTTGATTTTTTAATTGAGAATGAAAAGGTTCCTTGTTCTATGTAGAGTATAGTTTAAACAGGTCTTTCTTTAACTATCATACATCAGTTTTTTATAATAATGTGATTTTTTGGATAACAAAATTTTGAAATTACACTAATAATGAATTCTGGGTATTATTGCTACTACTATGGTACTATTACCTATTTGCTAACATTTATTCATTTTTTCCATTTTGTTTACATTGTGCCATGTTCATTTTTTATTGCCTATGCCAGCACATATTAACAATACCTGTTGTTTTAGGATATTACTGGAATTGTTGTGTGCTAATTAATTTAATGCTGAAATACTGGGCATGTCTCAATTTTACTAGATTTAGATGAAATTTTCATGCTGAACATGTGCTGGAACTGGCCTTTCCTGAATTAGCGTTCTTTAGTTTTCAAATTATTTAACATATTTTGGATGACAAGATTTGGTATTATGACTCAAATTTCATAGATTATTAATTTAGCATTTATCAAAGTTAACCTGCTGTTTCCTAAAATGCAAGACTGTGTTGCATGGCACTCTGCAGTGAGAAGAAACTCTAGGACAGTCGCATTTATTATTGTGTCTTGTACAGATAATTCGGGGGATCAGGCTGTTTTTGCCCCGGTACATAACCGGACTTACGTTATGTGCAATGAAGCAAGCCGAGTTGGGTTTGGGCCATGCGTACTCGCGCTCTAAAGTGAAGTTCAACGTGAACAGAGTTGACAACATGATCATCCAGAGCATCGCCATCAACGACCAAATGGACAAGGATATCAACACGTTCGCCATGCGCATGAGGTGACTTCTTACCACCAGCTTTACCCTATGTTTATCCATCGTGATGTTGACATCAAAGCAGTTTTATTTTAACTACTTATTGCTTAATATTTATGGAAACTTTCATGAGAAGTATTTAAATATTTATGTTACTTCATTTGAGAATATTTTTCTAACTGTTCAACATCGCCCTTAAGATTTTGACTCTTATTATCTCAATGCTTACTTATGACAAAAAACTTTCTAGTTTCTTTAAATTCAGAATCAAATAATTTGTTATTCACAAATAGGATAACACATTGCAAAACTGTTCCCTTCGATTAGAGAAACATTTATATCACTTCATTTCAGCTTTTAGTTAACTGACTTACAAATGTTTTCAGAGAGTGGTACTCCTACCACTTCCCAGAACTCTCGCGCATTGTTGACAACCACTACCAATACGCTCGAGTCCTGAAGGTCATTGAAAGAAAAGAATCGCTGATGGATGACTCCAAGCTGCCTGAGCTGGTGCAAATAGTGCAGGACGGAAATAAGGCTGAGGAGATCATCAATGCTGCTCGCATGAGCATGGGCACGGATATCAATGACGCGGACATGGCAAATATTCTCATGTTTGCTGAGCGCGTAATCAGCCTAACGTCATTCAGACGTAACATGACTGGCTACCTCAGCAACACCATGAACAATGTAGCGCCTAACCTGGGCGCTGTTGTTGGTGATCAGGTGTGTCTTGTGATTGTGCATAAATACTTTGGTTTAATAAAATCATGTTTTAATACTCCCAAAAAATATGAATACAGTGGGATAAATGAAGTTGCATCTAATTTAGATTCTGTTTAATTAAGATTTGTGTTCTTGTTACGTTGAAAATCACTAAACTGGTCTGGAATATTCATACCTAACCATGTAATGTTTGCTTTATATACAAGCAAATGATAGAAAATAGATGAAATTAAAGCAAATAGATGAAATTAATTATGCTGTTATAAGGAAGATACTTGAATATTTCTTACGTTTTATTGCTGTAGACATGAAATTAGTGGTATGAACTGTGGTGTGAACACGTTCGTATGATGACTGAATACCGTGGCACACTTCATGAGGTCTAGCTTGCTCTTATGTTGTGTAATTGTTATCAGTTAAAGAGCATCAAATGCCTCTTAGTTTTGTACAGTATAACACTATTAACAGAATTACGTTTTTTGTAGCAAAATTCCGGACTCCTTTTGATATTAGGCCTGAATCACAGAACCTCTTCTACAAACAAGTTTTCCGCGGAAGGTTTAATGAAATTGGACAAAATCATTTCATGAATTGAATTGCCACATGCCTGGTATTGGGAAAAAAACGAGTGATCATAAATTGTTACTCAAATTCAACTGAGAGAATTTAAACAACATCTAATGTTTTTTCAAATTCACAGGTTGCAGCTCGCCTCATTTCCCATGCAGGCTCTCTCACCAACCTGGCCAAGATGCCGGCGTCAACTGTTCAAATTTTAGGAGCAGAAAAGGCTTTGTTCCGTGCATTGAAAACTCGCAGCAACACGCCCAAGTATGGCCTCCTCTACCACGCCTCTTTCATTGGCAAGGCTGCATCCTCAGACAAGGGCAGGATATCCCGCTTCCTGGCCAACAAATGCTCTATTGCCTCGCGCATCGACTGCTTCAGCGGTAAGTATGCCCTGAATTATGCTCCATTGTTTTACTCATAAACTGCCGTAGAAACCTCTGCAAGACAAATTTGTGATGATGGCATTCATCGTTTGGTAATATATTTTTGGTAATAAATATGAAATATGTTTGGGAAAATTACTTTGTGAGTCCTTATGCGACTAACCATTTCAACTGCACAACCAAGATTCAGCCCAATCATGACGCTAAACACAAGACGATTGCTTATAAGGCAGGCCAAGACCCTCGATGTTTGAGCTTAATTCGGCACTTATAAAGCTAAATTTTTTTTTGGTGTCCCTACTCTAATAATCTATCATCACATCTTTATCATTTGATGTAGGTAACATGGAGAAAATTTCATGTAATCCAGTCATTTTTATTGTGAACTAATATCGTTCAATTGTTTAGACTTTATTTTGTTGTGATTTCAAGTTAATCAGTTTTTAAATTAAGTGTCAAAAGTCGACTAAAAGGAGAAAAAATTTAAGAAAAAGAGTATCAACCAATGATCAAGCTAGTGTACGTAAAATTTCCATTTGAAAAAAAAAATTCCATTCCCATTAAACCAAAAAAAATTAAGTACTTTCTGACTTAAAGAAACATTTGGTTGAAAGACTTAATGTAATAACAAACTGCAAATTTCAGAAAGCTTGTCTACGAAGTTCGGAGAGAACTTGCGTCAGCAGGTGGAGGACCGCCTCAAGTTCTACGAGAGCGGCGACATCCCTCGCAAGAACCTCGAGGTGATGGCAGACGCCCAGCGCGAGCACGACGCCTTCACCGCCAGCGAAAAGAAGACCAAGAAAAGGAAGCGAGACGACAACCTTGTCTGTCATGGCGAAAACGGACATGATGGTGAGAATTGGGGATTGTTGCTATTCTTTCTCAGCACGCGTGTGTGACTGCTGGGAGGGATAAAAGAGTCACAGGGGTGAGAACTGAAGGTTTTTCTTATCCACAATACCTGCGGTTGAAAGGAGGATAGAGTCACGGCTGTAGCTGTAGTTATTCTGAGCACGTTTGTGGTTGTAAATAAGGAAAAGGGTTTACGGTGAGTCAGCCATTAGGTGAAGATTGCTATTGGTAATTTGCTGTTGGAAGGAATATGTGCAGTGCTCGACGGCTGCGTTCGAGACTTATGAAACGGATTTAGATTTTTTATTTTCCCATTGTGATGAGGCAGACTTTGAGGTTATGGGCGTCAACAGTGGTGTGGATCTAGAATGTTATGCGTCAAGCATTTGGAGCTGTAGCTAATGGCTCTCGAAATAAATTGAAGAAATATGTCCATGGGATTGCTAAGTGACAAGAATATTCGCTATTTTTCCAGGGTTGGTGATTTTTTTGATTTTTTTTTAAAAATAAAAAAATCAATGATTTTTTCATGATTTTTTTATTTATTTGATTTTTTTTATTTTTTCAGCTTTTTTGTCTTTTTTGAGGTGTTATTTTTTATGTTGCAATTAGCCTACTAACAATAACAGTATATGGATCATAATGGATGGCTAAAAAGGGCACTTATTGCCTTCAATAATGGCCAACAGGCCAAGGTTCAAAGGCTCCAGTTAAGAAAAAAATTGATTAAAAACAAAGAATATTGATTACATTTACCTTGCTGAGCGAAAAAAAAAGTTCACTTATCGTCTCACAAATTACAAGCCGTCCTGTAAGCTTGATACAGAAAAAATGCTATGATGCTGCTGATATGAAGCTTGCAGTGGACAAGGTTGTTGTAAATGCTCAATGGCATGTTCATGGATACCATAATATAGCATCAATAATACAGTAATATCCCATCAATAATACGGTACCGTCAACTGGGTGATTCCGCCCTGTTCATAATGATGGCCAAAGTGGGGTAATAAACGGTCATAAACAGTGGCCAAAGTCACTCAGGCGTTTATGACCTGGTTTACAACCCTGGCGTTTATGACCCAGGCGTTTATGACCCCGGCGTTTATGACCCTGACGTTTATGACCCCGACGTTTACGACCCCACGTTTACGACCCCAGCATGAATCAAAACCACAGCCAAAGTCACCCCAGTTGACGGTAATTAATGTTTATGGTAATATCATATCAATGAAGGAAAAACTAGTAAAAGTCACAGAAAATGTTATTTATTCTACCTCTACATTGTCTACAATGAAAGAGAAGGACTTCAGAGTACTGTTAGTAATGGATGAGTACGCTCTGCATGCTTCAAATATTTTAAAATGAAGTTTTATTCCCAGTGTTTTATTCCCAGGACACTGGGAATAAAACTCAATGTTCGACGGGGCTACTCTGGACACTCTTTTTTTGCTTCTGGCACCTTACGAATAGCACATGGAATTTTTTTGAAGATGCCATTCGATAGCCCTCGCAAAGAGCTATAAAATGAGTCTAAACCTTTTTATGAAATGTTTCATCGTAAGAAGTTATTAACAAAAAACGCTCAAAACCGTCCCGAGTAGCCCCGGTTGATGGTATATGTGGCAAAAATTGGTCAAAATTGAAACTTTGAGGCAAAATCAAACTTGTGAATTTTAGGTAAGCCATAGTAAGTTTACGCAAAATATTATTGATTTTGTCTTCAACTTTCAAAATTGTTTTAGAGATCTGATCTGTGATTTCAACAAATTTGGAAGGATCAGTGAGGATTGCATTTAGGCTACTGTTGTAGCGACTATGATCCACAAGAACAACACCCTTGCCCTTATCAGGTTTACAAATGACTAGGTCTTTATTTTTCGCTAGGTCTTTCAATAAAATTGTGTCACGAGGTTGGAATATAGAGGAGAAAACTTTATAGGACTTGAAGCCATAAAAATGCCGGTAGGTACGCTAAACTTTGCAGGTTGCCTAAAAATTCAGGACAATTACAGGAGTAGGAACATTCTTAATGCTAAGAGCGAGTCTTTCAAAGGCTAAGAAAAATTTATAGAAGTCCAATTTAAAAATGGGTGTTTTTACTAACAATGTAGATTGTTAATATTATGCAATTTAGTACATTTTAGTAAATTTAGTACATGCTAATATTATCATGGAGTTATACTTCCATGTTGGCGCATAGTAATTCACTAAGCCAAATGAGACTTTATAGTGCCAATAATGATGTCAATAACCAGCATGAGGAGAACTGTTTAGGAGCAGAAAACTCTAACTATCACAAACAAAATTGAACCTCGTTAATGAATCATTACTTATCTGTTGCTATTAAGAAATGATAAAAGGGGAGTTCCTCAGGCAGGAGACTACCATATTGTTCCATAGCAGAGCCATACCTATGACTACATACATATATTAGGAGATTAAAAGTTCAGCCAAACCTGGTTGCAACAGAAAACTGGGAAAAATATTATTCAGCTCCAAGGTAGATGTGTATAAGAGACAGCCGATCTGCCATCCTCACCATACGACACGTCAGTCCAACCAATCTCAAAATTCTGCCGCAAGGCTCGTTTCTCCATATCTACAATCAAACGGTTAGCTGTCAGGAAATCACTACCAAGAATGACGTCATGCTCAAGACAGGAATCAGGTACAACCACGAAAGACGAATCAACACAAGTGACGCCACGACATTCAACTCGACAAGAAATCTTTCCCAAAGCGCGAGTGGTACCTCCCAATCCAATAACATCTTGGAGTTCATCAGTACATGGAACAACTTCAACTACACTAGTCCTTATGAGACTTGCAGTGGCACNATATAATGAGTAAGCATTTCACATGATTCAATGGGACCTTATTACAACTCAAGATCTAGATGTGTAGGAGAAAACTTATTTGCTTAAAATAAGTGTGAACAATATATAAGAGAAGATTAAATAACCTTTGAAGCAAATGCTCTATGTGACCGGAGTGGTAGTGGCGGCGCGGTGCCACTTGGAAAAGAAAGAAAAACGAGCGGTGACGCAGAGTGGCCAGGAAGGCAAAACGAAAATGCCAGTAGGATACGAAAATGGGTGCTGAGCACATCACTAGGTAATTGTAGATCCATGGAGTTAGGTTGGAGTTTGGGAAGTGGAAGTATGGAAACTCATCAAGGCTTTGATCGATTTCTGCAGAGGAGTGAGGGGTGGGTTGTGGTTCACCATTTACCTTATTTTTACATCTTCAAGTTCCCGCTGAGAAGCAAAAAAGCTATTTTTGTGTGCTCTTCTTATGAGGGTGATGATGAAAGTCGGGTGTCTGGAGGTTAGTAGGGGTTTGAGTCGTTGGTTTCAGCTGTAGTCTCTGACCCTGTCTTTCAAACCCTTTGACCCTGGCTTGCTCGTTTCAAAAGCAAGTTTGCAAGGAATATTGTTTGTTTTCTCATATTTTGAATTTAAAAATCGAATCAGCGGAATAATTGAGTGTGAAAAAAAATCTTGTTCAAGATTTGTATACAATTTTCTTGTCATGTTTTTGTGCGCCAGGCTGTCAGTTCGTGATGTACGAGAACATGAACTTGGGATACTACAACATTGGCCATGTGTTTGCGCCCTTCTACGAGGCTTTCGACCGCTGCTCCAACGCTAACTGCACGTCGATGACCATCATACATAAGGGTGAGTGAAGCTTCCATGAGTCCTTCATAGTTATTGCCCGGCACCAAATACTCCGGCAAATCTGTAAAGGTATTGCAAGCGAAACTATGTGTGGTTTTGTGTCAATGGATCATTCTTGACAAGCTTTTGGATTATTTTAGCCATTTCGATTTATTCATGCGTATGTACGAATTGAGAGAACTAAGAAAAAAATTGAAAAGTAAACACAAAAACAGGAACAATAAGCACAAGCAAAGGACAAAAACCACTAAGTATGACAGCCGTTGGCACTACGAAAAATTCTCACATTTTTTAATGCACAGTCCGCCGGTGCACAGTAGCTACAGTATAAATTTGGGTGTCATCAGCAAACATATGCAAGCGGTATCATATCAAGTGAGCAAATTAAGTGAAACGCTTCGACAATATATAAAAGAAAGAGGACTTGGCCACGGACCGACACCTGAGGTACGCTGCAGATCACCGATTATGTAGTAAAAAAAGCGCCTTCATTGAACTTATTGTTGTTGCGGTGCCACGAGGTTAGAGTGGAAGAGAACAAGAGGCGGCACAGAGTGGCCAGAAAGAGGAAGGAGAAAAGGAAAAGACAGTTGGAGATGAGGAGACGCATTGCGCATGATTTGGTCGTTTATTTGTAATTGAGGTTTGTTTAGGGGTTGGGGGAAGGGGTTGGGAACCCGTCGTGGCTTTGGATGGTTCCGGAAGGTGGGTGGTGGGAGAGTTGTGGTTCTTTATTTACATATATATGAACATGCGTTCTCGCTTTTTATAGAGATTTTTTAAATATAATTATTTGTTTCTCCTCAATGGATATGTTGAAAAATGAAGGGGTAATGATGTTAATGATGATTGATGATGATGAAAATGAAGGTGGTTGGCAAGTCGCTCGAGACTCGAAGGGAGTTAGAGGGTTGATTGGTTTCGTGCTAGATTTTCGGTCGCGTCTTTACTGTACGTAACTCTTGCTGAGTCACGTCAGTCCTTCAGCGTGATGGTGTCTTTGAAGATGTGTTATTTTGCCTCAACCCTGGTCGATGTGGGTCTGCACAACGCTTGTTCACGCAGGCCCACGTCGTACCAGGCGACACATAAATAAAGTACAGGAGTGGAGGTGGGAGACCTAGTGCATGAAATTTGGAGCTTTTAAATAACTGATGCTGCCTTGCGATGGCGTCTGGAGGGAATGCGAGTTGATTAAAAAGTTGGTATCATATGTCTTTATGGTGGACCAGGTTTTGCGTGCTTGATGATGGAGGAATGTGTTTGTTTATAGAATTTTGTCTAGAGTTTGGGGGGATGTGAAGTCGGACCAGTGTGTGTTTGTGATAAACCGGAGGATTTTGTTTGTACTGTCTGCAGTTTGGATA